TATATATATATATATATATATATAATATGTGTTTTTCTATTACTCTTGTTCAATTACACATTTTATCTATCTTATACTTAATTTATTTAAAAATATCAAAAATATATAATAAAAAAATCTTGCTTAATTAGTTGAAAATTTTGTTGCTTATTCTCCAACAAAAAAAAAAGAATCTACACAAAATTGAGATTATTGATCTCACAAAATAAAATATATTTGTTAGATCTTGTAAGAAGTTGTCCTTTTCAAAAAAAAAAAATCAAAATTCTTTTTCAATTTTTTGATACGAATTTCCACTCGATTAACAAGCTTTATGATTTCCATTTTCATATAACACTATAAGTTATTATAAATATTATTTTTAAAATGATTACTATAAATATTAGTAGTTTTCAATTATATAAAATTACATTATGTATATTTTAATTAAATTGAGTTATTTCATAAGAGGGTACGAGAAAAAGTACTTTAAATTTTGGTGGGAGAGGGAAATGGAGGGACGTGCATGGTGAAAGAAAACTCGATCACATCCGTAGACAAAATTGTTGAAAGAGTACAAAACTTTGACAATTGCTTAGAATAGTGGTGGGGGTGCATTGGATAATTCCAGCGCTTTTTTTTTTTCGTCCCTGGAGTATCCATGACAGAAGGGTGGGATAGCTGACCTCAATTTAACGCGGCTGCATACACAAGGCAGGATTCGAACCTCTAACCTTGTTTAAGCGTGGCCGCTAAACCACACGTTTGGGATTTTTCGAGGACTTGTTATTCAAGGTATAATGCGACTTATATATAGACGTCAATTCTTATGCCATGTTATATAATGTGGCCAATAGAGACAATTATAATAATATATCTAATAATTTTATTTATATTTTTAATATTTCACACACACATATATATATATATATAGGGAGCATATCAAGTGAAAGGGAATTTATCATGAGAGATGAGAGGGTTAAAATATAACTCTTAGATTAATCAGTGAGAGAAAATTTGAGATTTAATCAAGTGAGAGGAAATTAATCTAAGGGTTATATTTTAACTCTCTCATCTCTCATAATAAATTCTCTCTCACTTAATATGCTCCATATATATATATGTGTGTGTGCGCGCGTGTAAAGTAAGAATATCAAAAAAATCCGTATACGTAGATATCTGTAGATAAAATCTGCAACAAATAAAAAATAGATATAATAAACAGATATTTACGGGTAAGAGATACATACATTTTTTATACCTGCTTGTTAATAGGAAGGATAGGAGTATTATAATAATTGTATTCGCGAATACCTATATCTGCTAATATTTAATTTATTTTGACTTGTATAAATTTGATTTTTATTTGAACTTTGTTTGGATTTATATTTTATAATAATTAAGTATTTTATTTTATTATCTTTTATTTTGATTTATGTGTAATCAAAATATTTTATTTTAACAATTATTATTGTTTGAATTGTAGGCTTATACTTATATGATTGAACTTTAAAATTCAATTTTAAAATCTACTTATTATTAGGATAATTTTGAAGAATATTTAAATTTTAATTTTATAATCTTTAAATTTTTTTATGCAGATTTCTATAACTTGGAAAAAAAAACTATTATATATAACTAAAATGTATGGTTAAAATATTTTTAAAAAATTTAATAAATATTTGTGGGTAGCATGGATATTCGTAGATATTGAAAATAAATATGTGGATATACACTCAACAAATATTTGCATAAATATGAGAATAGATACAAGACACAAATTTATATAAGAAGAATAACATGAAATTACTATTCATATCTGTTCTGTTCCATTGACATCCCTAATATGAAGTAATAAAAATGATAATTTAGTCTAAATCTATAACAATTTCCAACCCTCAACTATTTTTTTATTTTCATCTTTTTAAGACATTTTTATCCTTAACTTTTCACACAAATTTAATAAATATTTTTATTTCTACTCTACTTTTTTCATTATCTTTTCTCTCATTTTTTCATACTTTTTCTTGGTATGTTATTTCCATTATTTACTATTTACAATCATCCTTATAGAAACATGATGTTTCTCAATATTTTCTTAATATAAGTATAAAAGTTAAACTAAAAAAAAATTGAAAGAAAGAGAACAATTAATTTGAATCTCGCGTTAGAATTTATTTAGTTAATTAAATAAATAAACTGAATCGCGTGTATTTAATGAATAGAACTCAAATAATTCATTATACAGTTGTTCAAAAATTCTTCACCCTTATTATCAATGCCTTAAATGAAAGTCAACGAAACATCGATTGTGCATTCATGCTGGTCTGCCTTATCCGAGTTAGTAAGTTGCTTTTCGTGCTCAGTAACGTGTCAGGCCAACAAATCTCAATGCTGCCTCATGGCCCCATCATCTAAAACTTTTTAGACCATATTTCCATAATATTTTTAAAAGTATTATTTTAGAAGATAAAATTAAAAAAAATGAAATAAATTTTTTATATAAGGAAAAATTATTTTATCTATGAGTTAATTTGTTAAAACTTTTTTCTATTAACTTCTTCATAATCTCGTTTTTGACTTATATATTAGTTTTAACTTATAAAAAAATTAATTTTATTTTTTTCATATTTTTTATAAAGGTCATTTTAATTTTTCTCAATTTATTTAAAGTATTTATCAAGAAATTTAGTCATTTTCAAATTTCAAGATAATATTAATTATTGTTTGTTAATTATATCATTATTTCTCACTTACTCTTAATTAATCTATACATTGATAATTAATATACATATTATAAGTAAATAAATTTATCAAAATCATTTTGGAAAAGTCAAACCTCTTGACCTTATGATTGTAAAGTTTATCCTTGAACATGAGAATTAACTTGATGTTTTCAAGTTTGATTTTCGCTATCTTAAATAGTTGTCAATCCTTAAATAAATAAAAATATTTTAAGAAATTAATCTTTGATATCTTGTTAGGATACCTTAATCTAATTGAAAAAATAAATACTCCTTTTGTTCTTTTTTAATTGTTGATCTTTTTAATAAAATTTATTTTTATTTAATTATCATTTTCAAAGATTAAAACAATATTAATTACTATTTTATTAATTATATTTTTTATTTCACTTAAATTTTAATTAGGATAAAATGTATTTATGAAGATAGAAAATGAAAAAAGACATAATAAAAAACTACAAACTCGTTTTGTGAAATATAGAAAAATTTACTATATTTCTTAACTACTGTATAACAATGTTAAACGATTATTAAAAAAAATAGATATATGGTGTGTTTGGCAACCTGTCAAATTCAACTCGACTGAAATTAAAAAAAAAAAAAATTACTCACAAACTTTTACTTTTTTTTACATTGAAATATGTGTTTTCTTTTTAAAAAAATATATATATGATTTCAAACCGAAAACACAAACATAAGCCTTCCCCATCTTGGAAAGTCATTAACTCCTTATTAATTTATTTCAAGTTGTGTATCGTTCTTCCTATCGCATTGTTAAGCTCTTTCTTTATTACTATTTTTAAAATTTTAAATTGTTACAGGTTTGTAGGAAGCTGCTAGGACTTTTGATCTTTCTACTTTCCCAATTTCACAAATTTGGTCCTTCCAAATAGTGCATCAGGTTCTGTATCTGTAGCCATGGATTCAAATGCTGCAAAAAGGGATGATGCAACATGCCAAACCATGGTTGAAGCAAAAGACATAATAAGCAAACTACATGATAGCATTCTTGGTTACATATTGTCTTTCATTCCAACTATGGAGGCAGTCCACACTAGTGTGTTATCAACAAGATGGATTCATGTTTGGAAATCCATCACCAATCTAAAGTTTGATGATAGTGTGCTTTGTTGTGGGAAGAGGATGCAAAAGGAACAATTTGTGTGTTTTGTGAACACAATGCTTCTTCACCATGTCAATTCAAGTGTCCAAAGTCTCTCTCTTTGTTTAACATGGTATCATTATGATTCATCACAGGTTAGTGCATGGATTTCCTCTATATTGAAAAGGGTTGTGCAAAATCTTCATATTCATATTCACTATGCTGATAAACTCCTCTTTCCTTCCCAAACCCTCTTTGGTTGCATCTCTCTAGTACAATTGGTGCTTCAAATGAGATGCACTCTTAGTGTTCCAATCTTTTCTTGTCTTCCAAATCTTCAAAGTGTTACCCTTTCTGGGATCATGTTAGTGAGTGAATCCGAATCCTCCAATTATTCAGAAGATATAATTCTTAGATTCCCACTTCTCAAAGTGTTTGAAGCCAGAGGATGTGAGTGGCAAACTAAGCAGAACATCAATATAGAAGCACCTCTACTTGAAAGGTTTTCCATAGCAATATGGAGATCTCTTTCAAATGAATCACATAAATCTGGCATCAAGATTTTTGCTCCTTATCTAGTAGATTTCTCTTATGAGGGCGATCTTGAGCAGGATATCATTCTATTGAATTCTTCATCAATTCGTAGTGCTTCTGTGGTGATTGTTATGGATGAAGACAAAATGGACAGAATGGAAAATCTTGGGTTTCAAGTGCATAATCTTCTTGCACAAATCTGTGAAGTGGAACAACTGAAATTACTGTTTTACAAGGTATTTTTTTTTTCTGTGGTTGCATAACATGTTTTATTTTTGGTAAGAAAGCAATAATTGTCTGGAAATGTAATTCAATTAGAATGACTACTTTTAGAGATAAGCTTTTTGCAGACGAAAATGATGATTAACGATTATTTGTAGTTTCAACTATTCATTGCATAATATACATTCAAGTTTTTCAACTATGAGAAAAAAATAGTCATACTTAATTATATCTTATGTAGAGACTAATTTTAAATCATATGATTTGGTGCTCTCTAATAATTTCTCTGAATATAAACGCATCATCTTTTTAAACTCTCATGTCAATGGCTTTCATTTTGTCTCTATCTCTTATCATATTATATAATATATCACACTTGCATATTTATTTATATTATCACCCACTAGGTGTTGAATACTATTTACGGTATTAAAATATCATTTTTGTTTCAACTATCCTCTGGCTATGGTATGCAGAAAAATATTTGGCCTGTTATGGTATTGTCTCCTTTTTAAAATTTTATAGTCGAATATGTCAACTTGATCAATTTTATTAAGTACACTTTAGACTTTGGTGCATTACCACAACAACCCTGTCCTTGATCATATCATCATAGCACGACTGTTTAATTTTAATAATTAATAAGCTTTTGCTTTTGGGAAATGATTAACATAATTAAAACAGAAATAATTTAACCAAAGTACTGGACATATATTAGCAGCGTGTCCCACGAGTTTACCCTACCTACTACAGTACTACTCAATTCATATACTTTTGCTACTTTTTAATAGTTGTTTAACATTGTTATACACAAACGGTAAAAAAAAAAAAAACATAACAAATTTTTCTGCTTTTCATTCAATGATTTTAATGCTTATTAGTAGCATTATTTTTCCATTGTAATAATATATATTATTCGTAGTGCTTCTGTGGTGATTGTTATGGATGAAGACAAAATGGACAGAATGGAAAATCTTGGGTTTCAAGTGCATAATCTTCTTGCACAAATCTGTGAAGTGGAACAACTGAAATTACTGTTTTACAAGGTATTTTTTTTTTCTGTGGTTGCATAACATGTTTTATTTTTGGTAAGAAAGCAATAATTGTCTGGAAATGTAATTCAATTAGAATGACTACTTTTAGAGATAAGCTTTTTGCAGACGAAAATGATGATTAACGATTATTTGTAGTTTCAACTATTCATTGCATAATATACATTCAAGTTTTTCAACTATGAGAAAAAAATAGTCATACTTAATTATATCTTATGTAGAGACTAATTTTAAATCATATGATTTGGTGCTCTCTAATAATTTCTCTGAATATAAACGCATCATCTTTTTAAACTCTCATGTCAATGGCTTTCATTTTGTCTCTATCTCTTATCATATTATATAATATATCACACTTGCATATTTATTTATATTATCACCCACTAGGTGTTGAATACTATTTACGGTATTAAAATATCATTTTTGTTTCAACTATCCTCTGGCTATGGTATGCAGAAAAATATTTGGCCTGTTATGGTATTGTCTCCTTTTTAAAATTTTATAGTCGAATATGTCAACTTGATCAATTTTATTAAGTACACTTTAGACTTTGGTGCATTACCACAACAACCCTGTCCTTGATCATATCATCATAGCACGACTGTTTAATTTTAATAATTAATAAGCTTTTGCTTTTGGGAAATGATTAACATAATTAAAACAGAAATAATTTAACCAAAGTACTGGACATATATTAGCAGCGTGTCCCACGAGTTTACCCTACCTACTACAGTACTACTCAATTCATATACTTTTGCTACTTTTTAATAGTTGTTTAACATTGTTATACACAAACGGTAAAAAAAAAAAAAACATAACAAATTTTTCTGCTTTTCATTCAATGATTTTAATGCTTATTAGTAGCATTATTTTTCCATTGTAATAATATATATTAGTTGTTAACGTGTAAATTAATTAAAAAGTAGATAAAATGTAAGGATATAATTGAAAAAATAATAATTAATGTAATTTTGAATTTTGAAAGAAACAGGAGGGTACTTTCTTAATCGTGGCTATCTTGCAAATTGTGAAAAGAAAGAGTAAAATTTATTATTCTGAGAATTTGAACTAGTTTTTCCTTGTCAAACAGGTTTTAATGCATGGTACCAGTATTTTCACCAATCTACCAGTATTTGGAAGGTTGACTTATCTGCAACTAAATGAGGTTTCTTGTGAAGCTCTGCTGAACTTGCTCCATAATTCTCCAATTCTCAATACTCTTGTTTTACAAAATGTAAGTCTTGAATTCACTGAAATTCAAAGTTCTTGTTAATATGTGTGTAGTGTGTTAATTAATTAGACATATAATTAATACAAATGATGGAGACTCATGTCACACAAAATATAAAAAATGTTTCAGGGAGTATTTGACTTGAATAAAGATGTGTTGACATCTGCATCAGTGCCTCAATGCTTTGTGTCTAGCCTCAAAGATTTTGAGTTTAGAGGATTTAATGTGCATGAGCATGAGCTTCTTCTGGCAAAATTTGTGTTGGCAAATGCAGCAGTGTTGGAGAGAATGAATATATGCACAGCTTTTTGGCTAAGGTATTCAAATATTGACATGGAGAAAGTGAAGGAGCAAATACTCTCTTTTCCAAAGTGTTCTAGCCTTGTCATGATAGAATTTTCTCATGTCAACGATTAATTCCTGAAGCCACAACTGTTATCCTTAGTTTCTTCTATCTCTAACTGGAATCTCTGGACCATAACAATGTAAAAATTAAATGATGTGTATACAAATAAGTTGAAAGAAACTATAAGGCTTTAGGTTTTAGAAAGTACTCTTTCAGAAGCTTTTAAATGAGCATGTATACAGAAGAGTTGCTTATTTAAATAAGGTTTAATTTTACTTTTGTTACCAAATATACCTAATCTTATAAATTTTGTCTCTACATATTATTTTTTAGTTTCAAAAATAAAATCTCTATATTTTCAAATTTTTCCTATGTTAGTTGAGTATTCATTTTGTACATGAGATGCTGATATACTAGTACATGATACTAATATAGATTGATAACTGAAATTGTCATTTGCATGAAGGTTCATTTGAAGGTGTATTTGTATTCCCTAAATTTAAGAATAATACGAGTATGTGTTTAGTATTATTAATTATCTTTTTGCCCCCATATTTTAAAAATTTGAACTCATTGTCTTCAATTTTTCCGCTGTTTCCATTTTGTGTTTTGTTTGTTAGTTTCTTTATTGTATTTTAATCTTTTTTTTCAACTCATGCTTTTATGTTTTATATTCAGTTGGACATTTAATTGCCATGGGATGTTTTTTTTTCTTATTGTTATGTAATATTTATGTCATTATTTTCATATGTACAATAATAATAATAATAATTATTATTATTTATTTTTAAATATTTTTTTCACTAACTCAAGGTATTAAGTCCCTCACTGGTCGATCATGAGGACTTATAATTAATTAATGTGCAAAATATGAAATATTTTTAAAGTATGAAACAAAAGATGCAACATTTTGAAAGTGTGGCAGAAAAACGTGTAATATTTTGAAAGTATGGAAGAAAATGAGAGAAAATAATAAATGGTAAAACACATTGTTCCTGTATTAGGAGACACACCTTGATAATCCGAGTTGTCGCGATCTTGGTCCTTGGTCTAGGTCTTCTCGTTCCGTTCTAGGTAGTCCGAGGAGGGAGAGGTGCCTGCAAAAGATATTCTGATGCTCAAGTAAGGGATCAGCGTATTAAATGCAGTAGTTGAAATTAGTTACATACCTCATTGGGGATCTATTTATAGTGGTTGTTGTTGGGTCGTGATTAGGGACTGAGCCCCAGGAAATTAGAGGGTTAAATCAGTGTATTAAGCAAATTAATCTCTCCTCAATTGGTCTGGCTTAACACCAAAAGCTAGAGCACGCAAAACTTTCTGGCCGAACAGTCCGACCACTATTTAACCGAGTCTGACACACTTGTTGTAGTCGGTCAGATCGATTGAGTTGCATTTTCGGCCTGGTCGATTGCCATCCGGTATACACACAAAATTGTTGGTATTTATTCTTTGAATATCCTGACCATTCCATGCAACTTACAAACATTACATTTGTACCAATAAATCATGTCAATATCAATTGCAAACTACCATTTGATTTTCTCTATTTTTCTATAACATAAAATTGTCAAAATAGCAATATAAATTCACATGTATTATTTATTTCATTTAGTAAAAACATTCATGAATTAAAAAAATACTGTTATAGTTATTGTAACGTCTAATCGTATTTTTATTAATCACGGTAATATACATATATATATATATAATATTTGTAGCTAGAAAACACATGTATAATAATATTATACATTATACCATACCATAACTATTTTCTACTACGCGCGTAGTTGCTTTCCTTACATATACATAGTACAGATTATTACATGCCTATCATATCATAGTTTTTCTTTTTCTACTTCTATAATAATTACATGGGTGGTTGGAACAAATTTACGATAGAGTTCACATGATTTGCTGGGGGTAAGTAAAAAGTAATAACGATGGGTTCATCTATCACCGTGGGAATTTCTTGATATGGAGAAAAAGTGAACGAAGACACAGCTACTCCATTGAAAGTTACTAAGTTGGCTAGAGCATCAACACTCCATGTTGTGCCAGAGAAGACTGCAGAAATTACCGAAGGAAAAGGAGCGGGAATCGCTGGAACATCCATCTATATTTATTTAATAATTTTTATGATTTTATTACACAAGAAACATAAGGAGTGAGAACGATTTTCAAATAAATATTTATAATTACATAACATGTGTAGCAATAATTAATAAAAAAAATATGTATATATATATATTAATAATGATTAACATTAAAATTTGAATTAAACTTGTAGTGACTAGTCAGGATAAATGAGCATTATCATATCAACCAATAAAAGGATATTTCACCTTAATCAACAATAAGATATTTCACCTTCATTTCTTACTCATTTAAATCCCCAAGGTCAAACCTCCAGCTACAAATAATTCAAATTTTATCTTCTATGGCCATAGAGTAATATTTATCTTTAAAACGAGTCCAAGACATTTTAACAAAATTATATTATAATCAATCATAAAAACAATCACGCTAAATAAATTTGAGAATTTATCATTATTTAAGCTTTAATTAAATAACATATACGTAAATAAAATATATTAAGAGCACCAATTAATTAAATGACAATGATAATAAATTAATTAAACAATATAAAATATAAACACCCTAACAATTATTATGGACGAAAACAATCATAGATTAAACAAATAAATGAGGTTAGAGGCACCTCACTAGATAAAAATAACATAAATAAATAAACATAGGAATATATAAAATTAAAGAGATAAAGTTCTCCTCCCCCTTACCTTGAAATGCCCACTTATCATGTGCTGTACATTCCCTTTTTTCTAATTATAAAAATTTATGCTGTACATTCCCTTTTTTCTAATTATAAAAATTTATAAGGCCAGGGTAGGATTTGAACCCAAGACCCAGTACATGTAGTCCTTAAGTACAACTAGTTAAACTACTGAACCATTTTATTTTATATGTCTATAACAATATGCAAATTTATATTAAGCTATTTTTTGTAGATAATATTTATAATATAATTAGATAGCACACATACACACACACACACATATATATATACATATATATATATATATATATATATGTATATATATA